GGCAGCAGATGAAGAGCAGCCTTCCACCTCAGGACAGCAAGAGAACAGAGAGGCAGACCGAGAAGAGGAGAGAAAAGCCAAAAGAGCCTCCAGGAAGCAGGTTAGTGTGGATTAGGTGCTGCTGTTGAATGAATCTTGGGATTATAATCAAAGTTTTATTTGTATACTGTATATTATATATATACAGTTTTATTTGCACAGCACAATTTGTCTCAGTGTTTTTAATATGACTTCAATACAGTCATTTTAAAAGGGAAAAAGAGGAAAGCAGATCAAAGCACACTGGTTAAGGCAGCCATTAAATATAAACTATTAAAAATATAAAATATCCCTCCTTTTTTATTTTTCAGCAACAGTAAGGGTTTGACACTTTTGTAGGAAATCACCCCTGATCATTCATGTCTGTCCTGTGTGTTCCTCTCAGATAGCGTACCTGGAGAACCTGCTGAAGCTGTACAACGAGGAGATCTGCCGCCTGCAGCAGGCTGAGCTGAGTCTCACTGACATGGAAGCGGAGGACTCGTTATACATCCAGGAGCACAAACTCAAACGCAAGGTCAGCCTCCAGTGTGGTGCAGCTCGGTGGCTTCCACTCTCTAATACAGACATTAAAGCTGTAAAAAGTAAATGTTTACGACAGCCTGAGTGGCAGCTGCTCACACCTCCCTCACGTGTCCTCCTCCTTTTTTTCCAGATGATGAAGATTTATGAAAAACTGTGTGAACTAAAGGGCTGCAGCACACTAACAGGCCGAGCCATTGAACAGAGAATCACCTACAAAAGCACTCGTTACCCTGAGATCAACAGGAGGGTGAGCTGCACGTTGTTGGGGCTACTTTCTAACCTGAGGGGTGGATTATGACGCATCTGCAACAGAGCCAGGGATTCTTTGCATCAACTGCCTCGTTGAAACCAAATACAGTTATGATGACTGTGGTTCTAAACGTTGTCTGTTAACTCTGGTTTTACACTTCAGTCTCTGCGCATGCTCACATTTATGTGCTGCGTTACTCGTAGAAAATTCCAGGCAGACATTATCAGCAGAAGGTTAAAGGGCCGTAAAGAAATGTTAAAATTAAACAAAAACATTAAACAGCAAAGGCAATGCCGTGTTTATACACTGTTGAAAAAACATGACAGTAAAAAAACAAGGGGATGTCCAATAGTCCCAGTATAACACAAAGTCACTGAGGCCTCCTCATGTAACAGCTCGTCTCCCATGATCTCCTCCATACTTGAAACTATGCAAACCTCCTTATGATTGCATGTGTGGATGGGACATCATGGAGAAGCTGGACTGCCTGTGCAGCCTGAAGGTGCTGCTTCAAGCTGCCACCAGTGACAAGAAGCAAAACTAGAGAAAAGTCATTATGGATGAGGAGACGGCCTGTGGCACCACGTCCTAAACCCTCACATCTCAGTGAGCGTGTTCAGCAGTTTTATTTCTACAGCGCCAAATCACAAAGACAACAGACAACCCTAACAATCATGTGACCCACTGAGGAGGTGCTTTGGAGACAGTGGGATGAATGCTATAACTCAAGAATGCAGTGACGTAGGATTTTAACATTTTTATAATAGGTGAAGTTAATAGGAGGCTGAGTGGGAGCTCTGATGGCCGTTAGTATTTTTCCGATTGCCTGAAAAGATGCCTCTCCAGTCCTCCGGTTGACACTTTCATTTGAAATAAAGCAGGTGAAATGGATTCACATCTGGACTGATTGATATTCCTTATTTTAAATGACTTGATCTTACATTGCAGTGATTCAGTGTTCCCTTCATTCTTTGAACATTTGTTGTTCTGCTCTGTGTGCTCTCAGGACTGCTGTTTATTTTCAGCTCTTCTGAACTCTGTAGCATTTAAACTTGGTTCTAATTCAGGTCTGATGCTGTCGTATAATCTAATGAAACATTTGGGTTACATTTCAGTTCGTGACTAATTCAGATTTACTGCTAAAATATTTTTGGTTAAACTGATAAGGTTTCTAATTTAACATTAACTGTGAGCATCAGTGTAAAAGAGATTAGGCCACAGATTAGGACCAAGCATAAAAACATTATTGGTTTCTTGCTGCTATTAATGGTTTCTGTCTGAGGTTTCTGAACTATTTGCAGTTCTTTATAAAACACAAACTGGCAGAAACACACAGCGATCACACAGAAGAGATTTGTATCTGTGATTATTTAATTTCATGGAGCTATGGAGCTATTTTCATTCGAGTTTTGTCCTCTGTGTTCCTCCCTTTGTCAGATCGAGCGTTTCATCAACAGTCCCGAGGTACGACAAAACCCTCCTGATTACCAGGACATCCTCCAGCAGGTGTTGCGTGCCAACGATCGCCACAACCTCTGCTTGACCAGGAAGCATATAAACCAGATCGCCCAGGAGGCGTTCAGAGAGACCGGGAGCCGCATACAGGACCGCCGTCACCTGGACCTCGTCTACAACTTTGGCTCTAGCCTCACCGACACCTATAAGCCTGGTAAGATAATAAAGAGAAATGCTGCTGCTCGTGCAGGGCTTCACTGTCTGCCTGCACACTGAAGTGTTTCTACTCAGACACAGGCCACAAATCTGAGCGTTGATTTGAATTAAAATATGAATATTTGTTCATTAATTTACTTTAACGTTTGCTCCACACTTTCAGTTCCTCACTGCTGACATTTTTGCTCTCATTTAACGTTGTGACAGTTTTTATATTGTTTTTGATGTTTAAAAAAATAATTAATAAAATGTATTTTATTTAATTATCTCTGTGGTCGTCCTTTCATACGTGTTTAGAAGGATTTCTAAACTTTTTCCATTCGTCTTCTTTCTTTCTTTATCCACATCTTATCTAAATAGTAGAAAACACCTGGAATATCATTCATGATGTAACTGTTCATCCTCTTGTCTCTCCGCCCTCCGCCTCCCTCTTTAGCCACAGACCCGGCTCTGAAGGACCCCTCACTACTGAAGAAACTGCGGTCGAACCGAGAAGTTGCTCTAACTAGCCTGGAGGAGGTCATCAAGAAGTACGCTTTGAAACAGGACGACACGGAGGAGAAGGAGAGGAGCAAACGACTGCAGAAAGACAGGAAGGACAAAGAGGTAACAGAGGAACATCATCACAGTGATAGGTTTGTAGCTTAAACCTATTCGCTGGAACGTTGAAGACAATTTAATTACACAGAGAAGCAAGACACGAGTAGCCAAAGT